CCCAGGGGGGGCGACAGCGCAGGAGGGGCGACACCCTTGAAGTCCTATAGGGGGGACATGGGGGTCAGGGGTCCCCCCAAGTGTGGGGACACCCCTGGGAGCCTCCTGAAACCCCCTCCCCAGGGCTGTGACGTCCTTGGGGTGTCCCTTGGTGTTGTGACACTTGGTGCCCCTGCTGCTTTCGTCACTCTTGGAGTGTCCCTTTTGTGGCCTGTGACACCCTTGGGGACCCTGGCACTGTCCTCTGAGTGGGGGTGGCATCTTCTGGGGACCTCACGGTGTGCCCAGGGGTGGTGGGACTGCCTCGGGGCTGTGACACTCCTGGACGTGTCCCCTCAGGACTGTGCCACCCTTGTGTCCCTGCCACGGTCCCTGGGGACTGTGACACCCTTGGGATGTGTCCCAAGGACCGCGACACCCCAGAACTTGTCCCCTCGGGGCTGTGCCACCCTGGGGTGCCCCTGGGACCTCTCCCCCCATTCCGTGCCCCGTGTCCCCCTCACCTCGGGGCTCACACACTCCGCCAGCCGCACCACGATGGTCTCCAGCAGCGCTGGCGGTGCCCACGTCCCCACATCCTCGTCCCCAGCGCCCTGGCAGGCGAGGAGCAGGCGGCACAGCAGGCGAGGGCCCAGGCGGCCCAGCAGCCCCTCGAACAGGAGGGTGGCGTAGCGCTGGGCCAGGCACTGGCAGGCGCCCACGGCCACGAGCGGCAGCGCCCGGCACAGCCCCGTGGCCGCCGCGGCCACCCTGGACACGGGGATGGCGGCCTCGGCCTGCGCCACGAAGGTGCGGCACAACCAGCACAGCGGCAGCGGCACCGGCAGCGCCTCCGCGGGCACCTGCGGGAGGGAGGGAGGGAGGGACGGGGGTCACCCTGAGCCGCCCGTGGCACCCAAGGGCCTCTGGAGCCCAGAGCCGGGCCGGGAATGTTTGGGGGGGGTCGCTCGAGCCCAGGGGGGGCTGCAGCGTCCTGTGGTGGTTCACCCCAGAACGCGGTGATGGGGCTGCCCCCGGCTGTGCTCTCCAAGCGGGGTCCGGCCCCGCCGTGGCCCTGCTGACACCCACGGAGCCACCCCCGCTGCCCCCCAGGGCCCCCCGTACCTGCGGGTGGGTGCCGATCACCCCGAGGGCGGGCACGGCCGCGGCACCCCCGGGCTCTGCCTGGCACAGCTGCAGCTTGGCACAGATCTGCCGGGGCACCTGGGGGGCAGGACAGGGACCCCAGTACGGGGCACCCCACGGCCGGGTGACCCGAGTGTCCCCGAACCCTCCGCACCCCGAGGTGTCCCCGCACCCCCAGTGCCTGGAGGTGTCCCCAAATCTGCAGCAGCCCAGGGGGTCCCTGGATGGCATTGTGCCCCACTGCCCCCAGCCCCCCGAGATGTCCCCAGGTGCCACAGTGTCCCCAAGGCCCCAGCACCCCGGGGTGTGCCCTGGTCGTGCCCCCCCCCCGGTGCCACTCACGAGGTGCTGGAGCTCCCAGAGGACGCGCGGGATGAGCGAGTGAACCACAGACTGGCACGGGGCGGCCAGGACGGGCAGCGGGAGGCACAGAGCCCTCAGCACCTGCTCCACTGCCACCTGCGCCGGGGCACCCACAGTGACACCCGCGGGGACACCGCGGGGACACACACACAGACACCCAAGGGGACACACACAGGGACACCCACGGGGACACCCGCGGGGACACACGTAGGGACACCCGCCACCGCCACACCCACCACGGCCACACCCATCACCGCTGCACCACCGACCCCCGTGGTGGCACCCGTGACCGTGGCACACATGGTGCCACCCGTGGTGTCACTCGCCACCGTGGCACCCGCTGGCATCTGCCGCCGCTTCACCCACCACCCCAGCAACCACGGTGGGACCCACAGTGGCACCCTCCACCATGGCACCCGCGGTGACACCCGCAGCAGCAGCCGCCACCTCAGCACCCACAGCGACACCCCCAGTGGCACTTCCCTCCGTGACACCTGCTGGCACCCCCGGTGACACCCCCGGTGACACCCCCGGTGACACCTGTGCCTGTGACACCCCCAGTGGCACCCTCAGTGGCACCTCTGCCCCCACGGTGACCCCCACGGTGACCCCCATGGTGACACCTATGTCTCTGTCCCCACTGTGTCCCCCTGTCCCCGCGGGCACCTGCACGGACGACTGGTTGGACACGCGGTGGAGGAAGTCGAAGAGCTGCTGGCAGATGGCGCAGGTGTCCTGCGGGAGGGGACAGCGGGGACACGGGGATGTGGGGGACATTGGGACTCTGGGACTCGAAGGTGCAGGGAAATGTGGACGTGGGGACAGGGGGGACCAAGGAGGGTGCATGGGGACATGTCGGTGTAGGGCCATGGGAGAGTGTTGGGACCCCCGTGGGATTTTGGGGACATACAGGGGGTAGAGGAACGGGGGTGGGGGGGCACAGGAGGTGACAGGGACACAGTGGGGTGACGGGTGGGGGGTGGTTGGGACACGGCGGGTGATGGGGACACGGAGGGTGGTGGGACACGGGGGGCTCTCTCACCACATCAGGGGGTCTCTGGGTGAGGTGGGGGCAGCGCTCCAGGGCCCCACAGCGCAGGGCAGTCTCCCAGCTCTGGCACCAGGCAGAGGGGGGCACCCCACAGCCCCCCCCCGGTGCCCCCAGACCTGCGACTGCCGTGAGTGCCGAGCCAGGGGGGTCAGGAATCCAGGACCCCCCCCCGTACATTCCCCCACTACCTTATCCCAACCCTCCCGGGGAAACCTGAGCATCTGGGACCCCCAAATACATCCCCCCAAATCCTCATGGGGGACTGGGTCTCCAGGACTCGCCCCATCCCCCCAATATCCCCCCCTCCCCCAATACCCCATCCCAGTGGGACCCAGGACCCCCCCCCCAGTGCACACACCACCCCAAAACTCCATCCCCTCCCTCCATGGGGAGACCCGGCAGTCTGGGACCCCCAACCCAACAACCTGCCCCCTCCCAGACGCCCTTTCCCACCCCCAACGCTCATGGGGGGGGGGGGCAAATGTCGGGGACCCCCCCGATAACACCCTCCAATACCCAGAGACCCCAAGGGGGCACTCAGGGCTCCCCCTCCCCCCAGTGGGCACCCTCACCCCACCACAGGGTCCCTGGGGTGTCCCCAGCTCTGGAGGTGCCCCCCGGTTTGGGGTGGGGGGACCCTACCTGGGGTGACCCCGAGCAGGGCGAGGAGCAGCGGCAGCGCCAGGGCCATGGCGGGGGACGGGGACAGGGACAGGGACAGGGACAGTGGCGGTGCTGGCAGGGCTGAGCCCGGGGCCTCTTATAGCTCTGCGGGACCGGGCCCTGGGACGGTGCCAGCGCTCGGGGACAGGTGTGTCACAGCCGCAGGGACACGGGGGGGGGCGGCCACCCCCACCCTGCCACCCTGCCACTGACCCTACGTCCCTGTGTCCCCTGTGGCCATGTCCCCATCAGGGACCCCTTTCAAGGTCTCCATGTCCCCACGGGGGTCCACGTTGTGGTCCCCATGTCCCCACGGACCCCATTTGTTCCCACACGCCCACATTCTCTCCATGTCCCCCGTCCCCCCATATCCACCCCCATCTCCCATGTCCCCCCCCCCCAGACCACCAACACCCCTCTGCCGTGTCCCCATACCCCCAGGTCCCCACACCCCCCCCATGTCCCCACAGTCCTACACCCCAATGTCCCCCCATGTCCCCCCACAGTCCCCATATCCCC